CTGAGTCTGACCTTTTTTCCCCCTATGAAGTAAAAATCAGCTGAAGTCGATGACATCAACAGCACATTTTGTTCATTTTTAACTTTGATTGTAAGCATTGCAATCGGTTGTTTTCAGTTCATTGTTGCATTGTTAACAACTGGATTTAAATTGGTTTATGTTGAATAATAAAAGATGGATACACCGGTAAAAAGTTTATTGCACTTAAAGCCCAAGAAACTCAAGAAAACTGTTGACATATCGTTATCTACAAAATGTCGAGGTAATCAATAGTTCGATATCTCGAAGATACTATCGATACCTACCAATAATATTATGGACACAAGAACAATTGAAATAGACTAAATTAATCAATAAACTAATCTTTTAAACAGATGCTTGTTCACAAGAGGACAATTTTAAATATATTTTTGTTTTGTAACATAAGTCTGCTCAAATAATGGTACCATATGGCAAAAATATCGTTTATCACACGGGAAAATAGTGGTTTTTTTCAACCCTAGCTCATTTTTGCATTGGCTTCACCTTGGTTGTCAAACTTGAGCTTGTAAAAAAAATGTACTTTACGTCCTTGTGATGAGATATACTATTATGCATTTAGATAAAATGTCACCAAAACCATCTCTCTTAATTAAATGGTTAAACTTGAAGATGTCATGGTGAAAAGTTCATCCTGAAATACAGCAAAAAGAGAAAAAGAAATATACCTCAAATCAAGGTTTTATTGAACAAAACATACCAATGTAAAGCGAGATGAAAAAAGAAATAAACAAATAACACAAACTAAAACAGCTGCTAAATATACTAGGTGGCGTTCGCAGAGGCATCCACAAAATTGAGCGGAGCCATCAAAGGTTTATATTATATTGTTTTGGTCATACTGCAGTAATACCAGTCGTTTTTAATGCATGCGTTGCGGGTCTAAAGTAACATTTTTACTCTTTAGGAAGTAAAAATAGTTTTTATCCTCTATGGAGTAAAAATCAGCTGTTGTCAACTCAGTTGTAAATTACTATTGTAAACGACAGCATGTATCGAAATATGTATCAAATCGTGCTTCGTAATCATTTTAACCTACAGTCTACAGTCTCTTTCCACAGCGTTTTAGCATTGCAGATACTTCAATCCATTCTCACACTCAACACGCTCACCTTTACTACTTCCTTCACCACCCCCTACGTCGTGGACCTATTTCCCTCTCTTCCCATAGCATTTTAGGATTGCAGATAGATTAATGTAATTGCCAAAGACAGTTCCCACACTCCACACTGATAGCCTTTACTACTTCTTTCACCATTTTATATGTCGGGGGGATGCTTCCATCCTCTTCTCATAGCATTTCAGCATTGCAGATACATTAATCTAACTGCTACAAACGGTTTCCAGTTCCCACACTCCACACTGCTCACCTTACTACTTCCTTCACCTCTTCTTACGTCGCGGACCTTTTTCCCTCCCTTCCCATAGCATCATAGGATTGCAAATACCTTAATCTAATCGTCATAAACAGTTCCCACACTCCGGACAGCTCACCTTGACTACTGCCTTCACCGCTTCATACGTCTCGGGCCTTTTCTCTCCCTTCCCATAGCATTTTATGATTGCAGATACCTTAATTTAATCGTCATAAACAGTTCCCACACTCCGTACTGCTCGCCTTTACTACTTCCTTCACCACTTCTTACGTCGCGGACCTATTTCCCTCCCTTTCCATAGCATTTTTTGATTGCAGATACCTTAATCTAATCGTCATAAACAGTTCCCACACTCCGGACAGCTCGCCTTGACTACTTCCTTCATCACTTCCTACGTCACGGACCCGATTTCCTCCCTTCCCATAGCATTTTATATGATTGCAGATACCTTAATCTAATCGTCATAAACAGTTCCCACACTCCGGACTGCTCGCCTTTACTATTTCCTTCGCCACTTCCTACGCCACGGACCTGTTTCCCTCCCTTTCCATAGCATTTTTTGATTGCAGATACCTTAATCTAATCGTCATAAACAGTTCCCACACTCCGGACTGCTCGCCTTTACTACTTCCTTCGCCACTTCCTACGTCGCGGACCTGTTTCCCTCCCTCTCCATAGCATTTTTTGATTGCAGATACCTTAATCTAATCGTCATAAACAGTTCCCACACTCCGGACAGCTCGCCTTGACTACTTCCTTCATCACTTCCTACGTCACGGACCTGTTTCCCTCCCTTCCCATAGCATCATAGGATTGGAAATACCTTAATATAATGGTCATAAGCAGTTCCTACACTCCGAACTGCTCGCATTTACTAATCCCTTCATCACTTCCTACGTCACGGACCTGTTTACCTCCCTTCCCATTGCATTTTATGATTGCAGATGCCTTAACCTAATCGTCATAAACAGTTCCCACACTCCGGACTGCTCGCCTTTACTACTTCGTTCGCCACTTCCTACGACACGGACCTGTTTCCCTCCCTTTCCATAGCATTTTTTGATTGCAGATACCTTAATCTAATCGTTATAAACAGTTCCCACACTCCGGACAGCTCGCCTTGACTACTTCCTTCATCACTTCCTACGTCGCGGACCCGTTTTCCTCCCTTGCCATAGCATTTTATGTTTGCAGATACCTTAATCTAATCGTCATAAACAGTTCCCAAACTCCGGTCCGCTCGCCTTTACTACTTCCTTCACCACTTCCTACGTCACGGACCTGTTTCCCTCCCTTCCCATAGCATCATAGGATTGGAAATACCTTAATATAATGGTCATAAGCAGTTCCTACACTCCGGACAGCTCGCCTTGACTACTACCTTCATCACTTCCTACGTCGCGGACCCGTTTACCTCCCTTCCCTTATAATTTTTGGAATGCAGATACCTATATCTAATCGTCATAAACAGTTTCCACACTCCAGACTGCTCACCTTTAGTACTTCCTTCACCACTGCCTACTTCGTGGACCCGTTTTCCTCCCTTCCCATAGAATTTTAGGAATGCAGATACCTAAATCTACTCGTCATAAACAGTTTCCACACTCCAGACTGCTCACCCTAACTTCCTTGCTTCCCGTACTTCCTTTAGCATTTCCTACGTCACGGACCTCAAGCTAGTGTCGTCATTTGATTATATTTATGATTCATACCGTTTTTGTTCTAATATCTGTGGAATAATGCTATCAGCTATTTCTTTATCTACTGTATTTAAAAGGCAACAGCTGATCATATGTTTTTGTTTATGTGTCAAATACTGCTTCCATAAGGATTACATTGAAACTTTGAGACCCAGTGGGGCGGATTCCTGAGAGTTATTTTTAACGCCATATAGATGTTGGCACTCGCCGATATGGTCTTTATCACCATCCAAAATTTGAAAACGATCGATTCAGCCGTCTAGGAGGAGTTTGCGTATTACGAAATGCATAAAAGTCGACGTATAAGAGCTTCGCTCGCTCCGCTCAATAATTCTATGACTTTCTTCCCCTCAGTCATAATCTTGGAGGTGGGCAGGGCAATGGGGAAAAATGTTTTTTTGTTGCGTGCGTCACAACATAATGGTTTGGTTTGAAAACTGTCTTCATCTTTCCTTTGGTTACTGTCGTCCCATACATCGTCTTCATAAAAATATGTATGGATATGGATCTTATCAGTTGGATTGATATAGAATAAATTTTAAATTTAGCAGCTGATTCAATTTGTGTTATTCGTTTTCGCAATCTTACTTTACTTTAGTATGTTTTGTTCTGCTTAGTAAAACCTTGGTTGAAGGCATAATTAGTTTTGTCTTTTGTCTCCATTTCAATTAATTAAGTATAACAAAACAAACTATTGTTAAGTTTAGTTTGAAATCAAACAAATAACATAAATTGAATCAGCTGCTAAATAAAAAAATTCAATAACATGCACGTTTGACTATTAATACAACTAGACATTTGATTACCATGTTAAAGTTGTTACCGGTTTTTTAATCAAAATCGTCGTAGTTGATGTGAGCCACCAACAGATTGTGCTAATCTAAATTAGTGATGTGCGTATCGATACAAGGACTGGAAAATATTGATATTTCGTATCGATACACCTATAACCAATATCGTATCAAATATCGTATTGTTTAATTATTTATATAATTCTAATTTTTAAGGTAAGTAACCTATCCTCTGAGCTTCCTCTCCTCAAATGAAGTAGTCGAAATTTGATATTTTACCCTACCATCCTCTAAAACACTGATAAAACATGTATTTTCAGCTGTTTAGCAAATAGTCTCAAAACTAGGGCCATCATTAGGCCTAATGGAAGTGGCACCCTCATTATCCATATTTATACTATGAAATGTGTCAGTAGGCCTACCCACCACCATTATAATTTATAAGTACTCTTTCTATAATTATTTAACTATCCATGTGCAAAAACTAGGAAAAAAATAACAAAATCTGTTTTTTAATTTTGAGGGTTTACCGGAATTTAGAGGTTTTGTAGGAGTTTGAAACAATAAAAAGACACAGGAAACGGTTTTTCTGAGCCACTAACCCTCTTTACAAGCTTGTAAGTAACATAGTATTTAGCTCTGCAGCTTGTGTATTCGAGATATTTACATTTTTTTTTCTAAAAATTAGAAATAACCAATACGATACGATATGTTACCCGATTCGGGTTAAAATCGATACACGAAGATACGATACAATAAATGTATCGAAACATCCCGTTCTGATACATCTCGATACATTGATCTGTATCGCACATCACTAATCTAAATCACTAATTTCTGTCGACTATAAATGGGATGTCTACTGCAGTATCCAATAGTCAATGATGTACCTTTAACTATTAATACAAAGTATGAGGCATGTGTAAAGAGCAACCATGGTATGAGGCTGGCACTGGTGTGATGCATCTACAGCTGCTTACAAGTATTTGATTTTGTGGCACTTTTTGAAAAAAAGTGGCAGTCTTCACATAGCTTCATGGTTGAAAATTAACTAATAATCTGACTTAGATCAATGTCAAACTATCTGTTTACAGAATGGCCATGCCAATTCTCCAACGAGGAGTAATGAACCGTCATTATCCATGAGGAAATTGTCGGAAAAGCTTACCTCGGTAAGTCTGAAGAACAAGACTCAGCCGTTGGTGGAGAATGATGCTTTTGAGGGCATCGGAGATGAGGATCTTTAATCTCTAGATAATTCTCTTGCTCATTCTTATGCATTTACTTTACATTGACTATACAGTAAAACTCTTTGCAGTTTTTTTCAAGACCAATAATGAATGCTCACTTTCCTACAAATGCAAACCTTCCTCTCCATTTTATTTGGCGTTTTTCTATGCCATTGGAATTTTTTACTTTTTTGTAAGGAAAAACAGTGTAAACTCTGGTTTTGTTACTCTACTTTTTGTTTGGTAGCTTCATCAATTAAAATTAAAAGCCTGATTGTAAATTGCATCTGGGTACTTTTCTTTAAAATATTTTACACAATGCACTTGATTACTGCTTTACAGCTAAAAGAGCTGTTTTGGTGATTTGGAAATAAAGTGAAATGCCTTTTTATATAGATTTTGCACAACATTTTTAAACATCATTAATGTCAATAGCCTCAATTTGTATTTGGTTACATTCAGTGGTTTATTAGAAAAGAAACACTAGTTTTTTTCTTAATTTCTTTAAATTCTTTTAAAATCTCTTCCCCTGTTTCTTGACAAGCAATCTCAGGATGTTATACAACCCCTATTTAAGGCAGTAACTTTATTAACCCTGCAATCAATATATATTTGTTTTAAAATTATTCATATGGAAAATTATAAGTCTATGGATATTGTTACATTTTCTGTCAATTCTAGGATGTCTTGTGTAACGTGTTTATGAAAGAATAAATTGGAACTCTTTTTATTTTCATCAAACTGGAACCAACTAAAATTCACTTGAAATTAATTAACTTTTTTAGTCTGGAATATTAGTTTATTAATAATTGTCAGATAAAACCCCAAGACACACTTTGACTGTCTGTTGTTTTAATACACCGTTTGTCATGAATTATATGATTAGTCTGTAATGGTTTCTATATAGTTTCAAAACTGACCTGACACCAATAAATAATTTGTAACCAATAAATATCTGCGCAACAACTGCACCAGTCCTCTACACCTCCTTGATGGGTAATATTCGTGCATTAAAAAAGATTTTTAAGGAAGGTTTGATGAGCATTTTAATTATTTTATAATATTTCTTTTAATTAAAAAAATACCCCTTTGACGTTACGTTGAAAACTGTTTACATGGTTAGAAGATCTTACTTTTGTACATACTGTATTTTATTTAAGAGTTTATACTATATGAGAATATATTTTTGTTACTCCTATTTATACATTGTTTGTAAGATTATGTTAATGTTTATTAATAAATTGTAACCCCAGTAGGCTAAGGAACTCAATATGATTTATGTATGGGAAAAATCATAAATATTTTAATAGAACTGCTGCCTACTCACTAGAAACTCTTTTTATAGCTTAATGGACATATCACGTTTCTTTTAACTAGATAGATAGGTAAAAAAATCAATATCGAGAACAAGATAGTGGATGATTCTGACATGATAATAACCTTCTACTGCAGTGTTACTGTATACTCAACCAAGGAGAATTAGCTCACTTAAATACACCTATACTGAATTTGCTAATTATTCAAAACAGTTTGCATGAGTTAAACTATACAACATTTATTTTCAAAATAATTTTTAAAACTAATACAGTAAAATAAAATATCAGATAGTTAAAAGAAAGTTTCTGGTTCACCTATATTAATCAAATACTTATTTATTTAAAAATTTAGTGGCTACTCTCTCCTTTTTGTAGAATGATATTGATTTCCTATGCATTTGAAATAATCTCATGCACAAAGATCCTAAAAACATTTTATACTATTATTATATCCATAATTTTAAGATGTATAACGTAATAGTTGCATGGACAATGTTAGACACAGTAACTAATGTAGCATGTTTTCTTGTGTTGCCAAAATATTGCAGCAAGATAAAATAAAATTGAAATTATTAATAAATTAATAATTAACTCTATAGAAATGTGATATTTTTTGCTATCTTTTCAAGCAGTGCAAATTAAGATTTTTGCATAAATAGCAATCTTGTTTTAAGCACAATTTAAAACCAATAACCATCAATACTCATTTAAAATTACAGTAGATACAATATTTGTATTCAAGATACAGTACTATTTATAAGTCGTGAAAAATAGTTTTAAACTCAAGCAATACAGTTGCTGCAATAAATGTATAAATGAGGTCCAAAATTAATCTAATACTACAAGAATATCATAACAACTTATTTGAAAATAGTATGACATAGTGAGTATTTTCGATTGTTAGTAAGAAAGAAATGTTTGCACAACTTAAAACAGAATGGTCAACAAGTTTTAGAACCAAAAAACAATAATTTATATTAATGAAAGATTTGCATGATGACACATACAGGGCGTCACCCTGTATAAAAGTAACTTTTTTTAAAAGATTCTTCTATTCTGGCTTGTACCCTTCTTAGATAATTTTATTCAGATATAAGAAATAAAATGTTACAGCACAATGGTATTGTTCATATTTTTTATAAATCAGCATTCAACATGACGTGGTTTATGACTTGGGAAATGGGACTTTATGGTTTGGATTCAAAGAACCATATTCTAAACTGTGTTAAAACAGTTGAAAAAGTAAGATGATCAAAATACAATTAGGATGTTTATTAGATTAGTAACTATTTAGTCACATTTTGTTTATATTATTCTGTTGCAGTTTTACATTACCATCCCACCTGGTTAGATGGAGTTAGTTTTTCTTTGAATATGTTTTTGGTTAAAATGTTTTACAATGATAAATCAGCTAGTAAGTCATAATGTATTAAACATTGCTATTATCTTTGAGGGCAATCAAGTGTTGGTGCTGAAGAATTATAAGGTGTTAATTTAAAGTGTTTGAAAACTTCTTGTTGGCAATATGTTAGGCACATCAAATGGTTAGATGATAAAAGTAATTTGTTGTGCCAAATGTTAAATGTTTGATATGATGTGTTGTAATTGAGTCCAATCTTTTGTATGATATTATAAATATCACCTGATATATTAAAGAACTGTTTATATTGAAATGGCGTTTATTTCAATCTCCAGTTCTTCTTTTAGTAGGCTACCTGTTAACACTTTGAAGAACATGAGTTTTCAGTGATTAGTTAAGCACAATTTTATCTTTTTTTCGCTCATCTTGTAATCACAAAAATCCAAATTATTTCGGAACGTTTTTGATGGAGAGAACTAAAAACGAGGATAAAAAAGTAGCAAAATGCCTGATTTAAGATGCAATTTACAAAGAATTTCAAATTGAATCCACCCATCGCGTAGCACTGTCTTTTGCTTATTTAAGGTGGGCCTTTGCCACCAGACCTAACTGAGGAGGGATTTAAACCCATAATCATCAGATCTATCTTGTGGCTGGCGAGACAACGCCTCAGACCTAACAGTCTCCCTCACTAACAAACAACACTGGTCAATCACCATAAAACCCCCAGGTCGCAGCACTTTTAACACGTTGAGTGTGGGCTACATCTATTATTGATGTAATACGTCACAAAAGCGCTCTTATCAGTCTACATCTGTAGATGTAGTCGTGCCACTCCCACTACATTAGTTCAGTATGAGCTCAGCCGGGGAACGTTCTAATCGTTGCCAGACTGTAGCTTCGAATGTGAGCTTTATTTCGGTGTAGGTTGGTACTAAAATTTCCCGTAAAATCCCATCTGGCAATTCTTTTGTCCCGGTTTCAGGGGATTTTTCTCTCTTTGAGCCACATTACAAAGACACTGGCTACGGATCGAGGCTGTGCTGCTACCTTTGGGTGTTTCAGTGAACTACGTCCACTCTCGGGGTAATGCAGCACAATCACCGCTGCTCTTTTGTGACAACGAGTTAACAGATAGTTTTTAGCCTTCATTAATAAATTATATTGCTTAGATATTTCATACCAGATTAAAATTGATTTAAGACAAGTAGTAATAACGCAGCATTGCAATATGTATAATGTATATAAAAAAAATCATCACATGGGCTTCTGTGCGAAATGTTAAAGTTTGGTTATGTTACTCTGGTATCACTCAGCCTTTGCCACTCAATGGGTGAAGGCAGGTTTTCCTAGTTGCAGAATTGTGATATCATGCAAGTCTTTTAGGCACAGCGTTTAAGTTGCCAAATTGGCAGTTAGGAAAATGCCTCTCTGTACCTGATACTTTTGGTTGAGTTGGAGCCAAAAAAGACAGCCTTATTCATCAGCTAGGGAAAAAACCCTCTTTACTTTTTTTAAAATTTTTTGTAGCCTTACTCTCCACAAAAAAAAAAAAAAAAAAAAAAAAAAAACTGAAAAATGTATCAAACTATTTGTAAAACAACACTGATTGATGTCTATTTATTGAAATGGTAAAGTAAAACTTCAAAGTTAACATTTTACTCTTTCTCTATAGAGAACAAGGAAAAGTACAACACCCAAATCAACAAAGACACCTTTATTTAACATTCATGGACAAATATGTGTATAAACTTATAATATATAATAACTACATCATAATTTCATAACATTACTATTAAATATTTAAGCAGTCTTTTTTACAACTAGCTCCTCCTATAGAAAACAGTCAAGCTTGGTAAAGTAACATCTATTTATGTACGATAAGAGGATACAAAACAGATTTGAACATTTTATGAAATATAAATAAATTATAAATATTGATATTCACTTCAATTGATGAAACCCCTTCACAATTTCAATGTATATTTGGAGATATACATTCGCATGTGATTGTATAAGAAACAAAAACCCAGTTCTGAACAATTAATAATAAAAACAAAATTTGACTAAAGGTCTTTAATGATAAAAAAGAATAGGTTTTAGAAGAAGCATGAAAAAAACAATACAATACAGTAGAACTGTAAAAGTAATAGGAAAAAACTAAAAAGACAATCTTGGAACACAAGGCAAGCTCTCTAAAGGAAACAGTTACACCTTTACTTGACTTTATGTTATGTTTGGTTCACATCAACTTTCAGTACTAAAGAGTTACAAGTTAGAACATCTGTTGTGGATGTCAAATCAACTTTGGTGAAAAGCCACACAACAAATGACTAGATAATCAGACTATTCCCAATAAATTAGATTTCAAACTTTATTCAGAGGTCTCTTCAAATTTATTATTTTCAAAAAGTTCTACGTAAATTTGGACCAAACTAGACAAATCTATATCAAACCTCAAATTCAAGTAGCAAAACCAATACCATCGTCAAAAAAATAATCTGCTTATTACAGTACATTACGTAACCAATGACTTTGATTTTCGAGCATGGCAAATGGCAAACTAGAACAAAATGTGTAAAATATCTCATAAATAAAAACATAACAAAATAATAGACATTGGATGTCTGATAAATACCGCGGTGAATGATCAAAACCACTCCTGGCACTCGTAATATGGCTTAAATGTTACATAATGTAATGTGGTAATGACTATGATTATTACACAACAAAGGATTGTATGAAGTTTAAAGCTTAACTTGTATAAATGCTAAGAAACACTACATTGATGTTTTATGGATCTTAAGGCAACTATTTTAAAACCGGTTGTAGGATCTGGTTTAACTGTTTAACTAAGACTGTGCGAAGACCCACTTTGATAAGTACATATCACAAGTGCCCTCTATAGGCTGCACCTCGCCCCTAATATCTTTAAGTAAAATTTGTATTTTGAATGACAAATGACTTTTTAACCCTAGCAATAATGGTTAAATCTTGTGCCACTTCAGCCAAACAAGTAGTAAAATGGATCGATCACCTCTGAAAAAGAAAGATATATGGTAAGAAATTAAGAAATCAGATTATGAGTTTAAAAACTTGAGATGGTTAACTACTACAATATCAAAACATTCTTGAGGTTAGGATATAAAATATTCTTGACTATTATTATCATAGTATGCAAACCTGTTTGTTAGTAGTAGGTACCGGTAAAAAAACGTTGGTTACTGAAAGTTAAGAAATTAAACACATTGATCACATTAGGGTAGGGTGCTTGCTTGCATTAATTTAATGTTCACCGTTGTATTTTTCCCTTTACTATTACTGGTTTTGTTAGATTTTTATAATAAGATTAGATAGATTTTTATAATTTTATGATAATATTTTTATTAGTTGGTAGCCAGACAGACTAAGGAACCAAGGGATGCATGCAAGTGATGCGATGCCTTGGGTCTGAATCTGCTATCAACATTTAAAATTTATCTGTAAAACTCATTCTTGGAACTGTAACATCTCATTACCGCTTGCTTTGCTTCATACAAAAGCAAATGTATGCTTTATATTATTCTCACTAGATGAGTTTTAAAACAACTAATGGCCTTAAATTGGACATTTGCCAAGAAATTTTAGTGTTTTTAATAGTATTGTATTATTAACAGAAATTGTAATAGTTATAAGGGTTAGTTAGTTTTAAGAAATGACCCATTCAATGTACTAAGGCTATTATAGTACAAAACCATGAATAAAGCACGTTTTGACTTTGATTTTGGAACTTAAGTCAGGATTTTGCTCTTTAAAAAAATTATTTGCATGTAGGACAATGGTTTTCCTACTTCATTTGATAATTGTTTGCATACAAAATAAAAGTACAAAACAGTTCAATTTTACCAATAAAGTGAAAAACTGTTATATTGATTGTATAAAGAAACTGCAACATTTTCCCACATTAAATGTAAACCACAAGTACGATATAACCTCAATTATCCGAGCCACAGTTTTCCGAGCCCTCGGGTTGGGTCATTAGAGACATAAATATACATTATTTTATTTTCGGTGAGAAAGCAATACTAAATTTAGTGTGTTTCTGTTCAATACTGTAGTGTATTTAAGCGCCCTCTGTGTTATCTGAGATGCTCGGTAACCGAGGGAGTCTCGGTCCCTAAAACCTCGCTTGATTGGTAGTATAATGTAATTAAACCAAAGCAAAAATGTGTTACATGCGTTCCTGCGTAACTCCATTACTGACCTAATCATTCGTCGATCTCCTCCTCGATGTAGAAGTTGCTATCACAGTAAGACGTGAGTATGTAGACAACAGCCTCGTAGGTTGCCATCATTATGGCTGTGTTGGGTATCTGGCGCACTAGCTGAGTGGCGAGACCTCGGTACAGTCCTCGGTGACCCTCCTCTCTGTACACCACACCCAGCGTCTGCCAGAACCCTCGGTACTTACAGCCCTCCTCCCTCAGTCTGGTCCTGGCCACCTCTGAGACAAAACATTCAGTCAATCATCATGATGATAGGTGGCAAGACCTCGGTACAGTCCTTGGTGACCCTCCTCTCTGTACACCACACCCAGTGTCTGCCAGAACCCTCGGTACTTACAGCCCTCCTCCCTCAGTCTGGTCCTGGCCACCTCTGAGACAAAACATTCAGTCAATCATCATGATGTTAGGTGGCAAGACCTCGGTACAGTCCTTGGTGACCCTCCTCTCAGTACACCACACCCAGTGTCTGCCAGAACCCTCGGTACTTACAGCCCTCCTCCCTCAGTCTGGTCCTGGCCACCTCTGAGACAAAACATTTAGTCAATCATCATGATGTTAGGTGGCAAGACCTCGGTACAGTCCTCGGTGACCCTCCTCTCTGTACACCACACCCAGTGTCTGCCAGAACCCTCGGTACTTACAGCCCTCCTCCCTCAGTCTGGTCCTGGCCACCTCTGAGACAAAACATTCAGTCAATCATCATGATGTTAGGTGGCAAGACCTCGGTACAGTCCTTGGTGACCCTCCTCTCAGTACACCACACCCAGTGTCTGCCAGAACCCTCGGTACTTTCAGCCCTCCTCCCTCAGTCTGGTCCTGGCCACCTCTGAGACAAAACATTCAGTCAATCATCATGATGTTAGGTGGCAAGACCTCGGTGACCCTCCTCTCTGTACACCACACCCAGCGTCTGCCAGAACCCTCGGTACTTACAGCCCTCCTCCCTCAGTCTGGTCCTGGCCACCTCTGAGACAAAACATTCAGTCAATCATCATGATGTTAGGTGGCAAGACCTCGGTACAGTCCTTGGTGACCCTCCTCTCTGTACACCACACCCAGCGTCTGCCAGAACCCTCGGTACTTACAGCCCTCCTCCCTCAGTCTGGTCCTGGCCACCTCTGAGACAAAACATTCAGTCAATCATTATGATGTTAGGTGGCAAGACCTCGGTACAGTCCTCGGTGACCCTCCTCTCTGTACACCACACCCAGCGTCTGCCAGAACCCTCGGTACTTACAGCCCTCCTCCCTCAGTCTGGTCCTGGCCACCTCTGAGACAAAACATTCAGTCAATCATCATGATGGTAGGTGGCAAGACCTCGGTGACCCTCCTCTCTGTACACCACACCCAGCGTCTGCCAGAAACCCTCGGTACTTACAGCCCTCCTCCCTCAGTCTGGTCCTGGCCACCTCTGAGACAAAACATTTAGTCAATCATCATGATGTTAGGTGGCAAGACCTCGGTACAGTCCTTGGTGACCCTCCTCTCTGTACACCACACCCAGTGTCTGCCAGAACCCTCGGTACTTACAGCCCTCCTCCCTCAGTCTGGTCCTGGCCACCTCTGAGACAAAACATTCAGTCAATCATCATGATGTTAGGTGGCAAGACCTCGGTACAGTCCTTGGTGACCCTCCTCTCTGTACACCACACCCAGCGTCTGCCAGAACCCTCGGTACTTACAGCCCTCCTCCCTCAGTCTGGTCCTGGCCACCTCTGAGACAAAACATTCAGTCAATCATCATGATGTTAGGTGGCAAGACCTCGGTACAGTCCTTGGTGACCCTCCTCTCTGTACACCACACCCAGCGTCTGCCAGAACCCTCGGTACATACAGCCCTCCTCCCTCAGTCTGGTCCTGGCCACCTCTGAGACAAAACATTCAGTCAATCATCATGATGTTAGGTGGCAAGACCTCGGTACAGTCCTTGGTGACCCTCCTCTCTGTACACCACACCCAGCGTCTGCCAGAACCCTCGGTACTTACAGCCCTCCTCCCTCAGTCTGGTCCTGGCCACCTCTGAGACAAAACATTCAGTCAATCATCATGATGTTAGGTGGCAAGACCTCGGTACAGTCCTCGGTGACCCTCCTCTCTGTACACCACACCCAGCGTCTGCCAGAACCCTCGGTACTTACAGCCCTCCTCCCTCAGTCTGGTCCTGGCCACCTCTGAGACAAAACATTCAGTCAATCATCATGATGTTAGGTGTCAAGACCTCGGTACAGTCCTTGGTGACCCTCCTCTCTGTACACCACACCCAGCGTCTGCCAGAACCCTCGGTACTTACAGCCCTCCTCCCTCAGTCTGGTCCTGGCCACCTCTGAGACAAAACATTCAGTCAATCATCATGATGTTAGGTGGCAAGACCTCGGTGACCCTCCTCTCTGTACACCACACCCAGCGTCTGCCAGAACCCTCGGTACTTACAGCCCTCCTCCCTCAGTCTGGTCCTGGCCACCTCTGAGACAAAACATTCAGTCAATCATTATGATGTTAGGTGGCAAGACCTCGGTACAGTCCTCGGTGACCCTCCTCTCTGTACACCACACCCAGCGTCTGCCAGAACCCTCGGTACTTACAGCCCTCCTCCCTCAGTCTGGTCCTGGCCACCTCTGAGACAAAACATTCAGTCAATCATTATGATGTTAGGTGGCAAGACCTCGGTACAGTCCTCGGTGACCCTCCTCTCTGTACACCACACCCAGCGTCTGCCAGAACCCTCGGTACTTACAGCCCTCCTCCCTCAGTCTGGTCCTGGCCACCTCTGAGACAAAACATTCAGTCAATCATCATGATGTTAGGTGGCAAGACCTCGGTGACCCTCCTCTCTGTACACCACACCCAGCGTCTGCCAGAAACCCTCGGTACTTACAGCCCTCCTCCCTCAGTCTGGTCCTGGCCACCTCTGAGACAAAACATTTAGTCAATCATCATGATGTTAGGTGGCAAGACCTCGGTACAGTCCTTGGTGACCCTCCTCTCTGTACACCACACCCAGCGTCTGCCAGAAACCCTCGGTACTTACAGCCCTCCTCCCTCAGTCTGGTCCTGGCCACCTCTGAGACAAAACATTCAGTCAATCATCATGATGTTAGGTGGCAAGACCTCGGTGACCCTCCTCTCTGTACACCACACCCAGTGTCTGCCAGAAACCCTCGGTACTTACAGCCCTCCTCCCTCAGTCTGGTCCTGGCCACCTCTGAGACAAAACATTCAGTCAATCATCATGATGTTAGGTGGCAAGACCTCGGTACAGTCCTTGGTGACCCTCCTCTCTGTACACCACACCCAGCGTCTGCCAGAACCCTCGGTACTTACAGCCCTCCTCCCTCAGTCTGGTCCTGGCCACCTCTGAGACAAAACATTCAGTCAATCATCATGATGTTAGGTGGCAAGACCTCGGTACAGTCCTCGGTGACCCTCCTCTCTGTACACCACACCCAGTGTCTGCCAGAACCCTCGGTACTTACAGCCCTCCTCCCTCAGTCTGGTCCTGGCCACCTCTGAGACAAAACATTCAGTCAATCATCATGATGTTAGGTGGCAAGACCTCGGTACAGTCCTTGGTGACCCTCCTCTCTGTACACCACACCCAGCGTCTTCCAGAACCCTCGGTACTTACAGCCCTCCTCCCTCATCCTGACCAACTCTAAGACAAAACATTCAGTCAATCAACATGATGTTAGGTGGCAAGACCTCGGTACAGTCCTCGGTGACCCTCCTCTCTGTACACCACACCCAGCGTCTGCCAGAACCCTCAGTACTTACAACCCTCCTCCCTCAGTCTGGTCCTGGCCACCTCTGAGACAAAACATTCAGTCAATCATCATGATGTTAGGTGGCAAGACCTCGGTACAGTCCTCAGTGACCCTCCTCTCTGTACACCACACCCAGCGTCTGCCAGAACCCTCAGTACTTACAGCCCTCCTCCCTCAGTCTGGTCCTGGCCACCTCTGAGACAAAACATTCAGTCAATCATCATGATGTTAGGTGGCAAGACCTCGGTACAGTCCTCGGTTACCCTCCTCTCTGTACACCACACCCAGTGTCTGCCAGAACCCTCAGTACTTATAACCCTCCTCCCTCATCCTGACCAACTCTACAAAACATTCAGTCAATCTTCAATTTCAATTTAAAAAAATGTTAAGTGGCCTGATACTAGTCATACTGGCCATCAATAATAAATTGAACCTTCAGACAAAAGGTCACAAGAGAAATTTGCACCTTAGAATATCGACCTCAGGAGGTGGGTTTGTTTTTACCATTTACTTCATCACATAATCATATCTGATTCGATTGTTGATTCAAACTTAGTTTTAAGTAACAGCTATAACTTCACCAAAAGAACCTCTCAAAATAAAACTACAACCAGTTGTTTACAATACAACCTAATTATAAAGGCAGATAATAAATCTACATAGGAGCAAGAATAACTCAGTAGTAGAGTGCCAAGCACAGATGGTAAACAAAACACTTAGCCAACAGTAGCAGTGGCTGTCTAGATACAGGCTTCGTTGTCATTAATTGCTCAACTTGTAAACAACAGAGCCAGCTGACACAGATAACACTGTTGCACCAGTCATCTAACGTTGAGGTCATGAGTTAATTATAATTTTTAAAGTAATAATTTATATGAAAATATTTGTTGTACTTTACCAAATGGGGTTTTCATAAATATTTTGATAAACTAACAAAATATTAGACTTTCATTGAGAGAAGCCTGTATTGATCTACAGAGTATTTAGATGTTAATGATTGGTGAACAAATGAGGGTTTTGTATATGTATATTTCCATAATGCAAAAAAGTACAGAACCAAACTAGATACAATTTTGCACCAGATAATTTACGTCTCTAGGATCACTATGGGTCTAGTGCTGATTCAATATTAACCTCTAGGGCTCTTATCCAAGAAATTTCAATACCTAACACACCTTTACCCTTCGAGTGGCCAACCGACTGTATGTTCATGAGTGGGCCTTAGAATGGCCAACAAAAGATCGGTCGGTTCGGGTCTGAAAATTTTTTATCAAGAGAGAGAGGAAGTGGATTCCTGCGCTCATCATGACAAAGGTAAGCTCTGTTTTGTATTTGGTTAAGCTTGTAGAGGGTAGTATCAAAAAAGTTTTTTGGATGATTCATTAGATCCACAACCCAGGGTAAATATTTCCTTGGATGTACAGCCCAGGTCAACTGCAGAAACTGTTTCTGAACCAGACCAAAATGATGGAAACTCATTAGTGCCTCAGGCTGGTAGTAGCCTAATTAAAAGTCCGCCTCTCGCACTTCGTAAAGGTAGTAGACACAGTGTTCCACTCTCCATAATTTCTGTTTGAAGTTGTAGCTTAACGAATTGTACTAAGTTCAGTTTGATTTTGTTAATTAACAGAATAGTTCTATTATGTTGTGTTCATTATTAAGGTATGTTATACCAATAAATTCAATGTAAATTTAGGCACAAGGCTTTTATTCCTATGCTCAAGTTGATTTAATTTAGAGGGGAGAAAAATAATACATATGTTATTCTATCAGTTGTTTTGTGTTAATAATATTTAGTTGGTTGGTATGTTCTTATTATGTTCTCTTTCGGTCTAACCTAGAATATGGGATGATCTGTAGAGTCGGGACAATGTGATTTGTCTGTCTGTCTCATGTATCAGTATGATGTCGATGTGCCTTTTACTATATGACCATGTAATCAAGTGTTTTTTAGTTGAACTTAATACTAATAAAGTATCTGTATTGACAGTAAAGTGAATTATAATTTCAGTAGTACCTTTAGCCCAAAAAACATATCATGAAAATACATATCATAATGCTCAAAAGTTACTTTGTTGTATTATATGGCATTTACTTATTGTTCAACATATTTTAAAGAACAGATTGTAAAGTAAACAAAAAAATTATTTATTATTGTTTACCTAGTCATAAAACACAATCATTTACTTTTGTTAGCTGTCAAACTATACCTAAAATGGTCTATTGTCGTTAATAATTAAATAGGTTAAGAAATCTTAACAGCTGGCTCAAACAAAACATAAAACATAATAATCAAAACATATGAATCACTTTTGCATTAGCGTAGTAATTAGCCTCAAGGATTGTCAGAGGGATTATAAAACCAATACAATAACTTCATTCCTTAACTAGATATATCAGTTTATCAGTCAGTGTACAATTAATTATAGTTCAATATAAACAACTGTTATCACAATGAATTCCCAAATTATACTAAGATAATGTTTGTAAACAAAATGTTTGGCACTAAGTAATAGTACACATGTAGTGATAGTTATAAAATTTAGGTCAAGGACAACAAATAAGACACACAAATTAAAGTTAAAATAATCAACAAAGAAATGTGCATCAAGCATAATAGTAGAATAATTCTTTCAGTTTCTTATCCTGTAATTACGGAGTACAAGTACAACTAAAAAATATATAATTTGTCTGTTAAAACAACAGAATAAAGTTAGTTTAGCTAAGTTAACTAGTTAAAGATTTTCACATTGGTAATTTGTTTCTGCCTTTGAAGGACCAATTGTAACCAGTGTCTAGAGGTAGGTTTCTAACCATAAGGAGGTTCAAGGTCTTGGACTGATAGGCCATTGCTGGTTCTGACACCGTGTGCTCCCACTATCTCCGCGTTCCGCCATCTCCGAACCCAAATATGTCCCGCCATCTCCGAATTCTTGAGTGACCATTATAATCCCGTCACTGCCTACGTTGATAGCTGTCATTGCATCCACGGCTGCGAAGCCCCGTGGACGGAAGATTTAATGAAAATTTAACCCGTGGGTTAGGTTAGGTTAGGTCAGGTTAGGTTAGGTTAGGTTAGGTTAGGTTAAGTTAAGTTAAGTTAGGTTAGGTTAGGTTTGGACGGAAAGTCTTAACGCAGGAAGTAACCGAGGATTATAGGGGTCACTCTGAAATTCGGAGATAGCGGTACACGGAGATGGCGGGACGCGGAGATAGCGGGAGGTAACCTCTGACACTGCCTGCGTTTTCTTATCTTATCACTGCAGTACCAGTAACCAAGGACTTGCCCATTGTCCTTAAATATATCACTTTACAAGAGCAGTAGTCAATGGGAATAAACAGTTTAACACCTTGCAAGACAAAGGGGCGTAAGTACATATGCTAGCCTATGTACTTACGCCCCTTTGTCTTGCAAGCGACTTGAAGTGAATAAAACTCAATAAATAGCAAAAAGTACAAGTTGACATAGCAGGAAAGTAAAGACCCTCAGACTGCCTCTGTATAAAAACCAAACAGTAACTGGCACTAACAGAATACAACTGCCACTGGAAGAGAAATTATATAGGCCTAGTAAATTAAATTCAAACTCAAAGACATCTTGGTGATGGATAAACTGACACTCCACAAAGTTCAAATCATTACTAGCTCAATTTTGAGGTTGGACCATTTCTGTTTATTAAGTAACAGAAAACTGTTGGGGTTTTATCCATTAAATATTCAAAATTTACTTAAACTTGGATAAAAATGATACAATAAGTTGATTTGAATAAGTTGTAATTGTGGCTACAAAGCACTCACCGTGAGGATAGCTGATACAAGAGGCCACTGTCTTGGAGATGGCCCCAGCCATCATGAACTCCAGGAAATCCTGGGAAGTTTTCTCCTTCTCGTTGAGATCGCTTCTCGACCTCCTAGCCATCAGCTGGGCCTTGATAGCCTCGTAGATCACAAAGTGGATCACAGTCTCGGAGATCCCGTAGTACGAGGCTGTTATGCCCTTGTAGAAGCCCAGGACACCCTGCAAAAATATTGGGGATTTTCAAACTGCAACCAAAAGCCTTGGACAATTCCAGGTAGGCAGTTGGGATCACTAAAAGTTCTCTGTATCGAACATGTAATGTTAGTTTTAATGCTTTAGTAGAACAAGACTGTTCGATTCATGGTTCAAAACTAGAGCTATGGGTTAATTAATCATAAGACAGATGTGATGTTTGAGCATTTACTGGCACTGAGGAATCCTTACAAGCTTGTGGGTTTGTTGTTGTTGTTGTTTTTTCAAATTTATTTATTTTATTAGTATACCTTACCATTGGTTATTTTGTCGATTGTTGTTTAGCTGGTAGGTTTGTTATTGTTGTTGTTTGTTGTTATTACATCGTTATTATATTGTTTAATTTATTCTAGTCTATAAGCACAAAATTTGTTATTATTGACAGGATTATCAACTAAGTATTCTAGTATTTCACTTTCGGTATTATTTAAGCTCACAATGATTTTGTTCCTATTTGCATTAATGACTGTTAGTAAGCTAAGTTTATTTTATTTACACATGAACTATCTCATCCTTTCTAACTGTTTTCTGTTGTGTCTGTTAAATGTTACGGTATAAGCCATCCTGAGTTGTACTGATTTGATTTGATTTGCTGTAAAATGGAGATGTCCGTTGAAATAAATAAAGAAATAACTTTATTGACCCTGAAACAATCTCAAAACAGTAACTCATTAAATCTCGCCTTTCGATCTTTAATGTATACTCGGTCAAAGAGCTTTTGATAAAACAATAAAAAAACAACATTTGGGAAAATCGTAATCTTAATTTTTGAAATGGTGTACTAAAACGCCCTTTTTTATGGAACAGGATTAAAAATTAAGTTCCATTGTATTCATTGACTAAATGTTGAATTTACCTTAAACCATTTACTAGGCTACATTTATTACTGTGCCATATACTGCTCTAAAAACGTACTGTTAAAAAAGTCCTGAGGTTTAAATACTGTAGTCCTTATGAAATTATAACTACTATTGAATCTATAAAACATTCAAAAGTAATATTTTGTTATTATTGTTACTTTTCTAATATTTTCTAGTGACATTGCTGCCATCTAGTTGCACCATTAATAAAAGCTTTATTAGCATTGTTTCAAAATTTTAAAGAATAAGTAGTTATAATCCACAATTACTACAGTACTTAATTACTTAATATCTAAACACGTCTCCAAAACATGGTCTTGAGTTTAAATGGCAGAAAACAATAAATTCACTTTTACTTGTCTATCTTGCACCTAATAGTCAATGCTTGTACTTAACATTTAGAAAATGTTAAATAGTCTTGAAATGCATTTTGTCATGATCAAGACAACAATTGATATGAACATGTGTATTCAGATAACACACCAATATACTGTACAATTTCAGTGTCTGCGCAATACCAATACAACTGACAATCTGACATGTGAAGGACATCACAGATAACAAGTACACTCGACCTTTGTGACATTCGGTCTTTCAGCATATTTTGAATATATCTGCAAAATTATGATGTGTAGATTATGACAATCTAAATTTATGATAAGTACAATCTTTTAAATGTATGTAAAAGAAGTATTTATGCTTAATACCTGGCTTAACATTAAACTTTAACTATAGTCTGTATGATGGAACCTGTCTTCTAACCCTCCGTCTACCTGGGACTGGCTTGGGTTAAAAAAATTGGTCAGGAGATATGTTCCACCAAACAGACTAGGGTAAGATTTATTTGTCCCCCCCCCCCCAACTTTTTCTACATTTTACTTCTTACTATCCAACAATGTTTAGAAGTGGTCTAGGATTAATATTTGAAAAAAATGTAGAGGGGGGGGGGGCAATTCAAACTCACCCCGTAAAAAATATGTACATCATGTGAAAGTAATTCAAATAGTTGGGCCCATAAACCTACAAAGTCTATAAGTTAGTCACTCACAGACTGGCGGTATATCCTCCTCACTAACTCCATGGCGGTGAGTCGTAGTCCACTCTTGGCATAGTCTAGCTGGAGCCGCGTCTTGACAAACCAGATAGGATTGGTGGCCGAGCAAGCTACGAACCCTGCACAGAAAAATACTCTGTTGAATCTATAAGAACTAACATACTAAGAAGTATTTATAGTGGTAGCAAAATAATAGAACCTGTTTCTATAGAAGGTCACGTAAAAATTGAAAAATAGTGATTAACTAAAAGCAACATTTAACGCAATAGTTTTACGGAGTAAATTCCTAGTTGTTTCTTAATCCCGCCTTCATGTCCTAAGTATTACACATTACACCAGGGTAGACTTAGAGGATAATGGCATCATCACAAAATTTCTAATAGCCACTGATGATTGGTAGTATATTAACCCGATGAAGGTCGATGCACCAGCTTGTCTCACTATTTTTTTTTACTGCTTAGCAATATTTTTTAGGGGTTTAAAGCACAAGTACGGCCGCAATTCTGACTGAATAATACTTTTTATCTAGTCTTTCATTGAACTTCCTCTCTTTATTCAGGTTAGATACCAAAAACACACTTTAATACCAAACACAACAAAGTGGTGAGAGTCAGAAATATTTTTTGGGAGTTTCAAATAAACCCTTTGTGAAATATTGGTAATCATCCTAATATTAGAGGCTAAATCAGGGAATAAATAAACGGTTTGAGACATACTTTCTCCCAAAAGCTTGTTAACAACCTTTATCATGAGTAAGTGGTGGGAGTTATTATGATATTTTATAGAAAAAATCACAAAAGTTGCAATATCTTTTGAACCATAATTGTTACAGCAATGGGGGGTTGCACTACTTTGTTTAGAATTATAAGGACCATAACACAATCATTTTAATCAAAATCAGCTTTTTTCCTAAAATCCGATTTTTTGTTGTTTTATAAGGTTTTTTATGGGAAAATAACCTAAGTTACAATACATTTTTTAGCAAAATTTTTACGTACATGGGATCTGAACCATTTTGTTCCAAATTTAAAGGACCATATCATACTAATTTTAATCTAAACTGTTTTTTTTTCTAAAATCAGATTTTTGTTATTTTTATAGGGATTAATAGAGAAATAACATAAGTTAAAATAGCTTTGGAACCGTAATTTTTACGGAAATGGGATTTATACCATTTTATTCAGAATTTAAAGGACTGTCATATACTAATTTTAATCTAAACCAGCTCTTTTTCTAAATTCAGATTTTTGTTATTTTTATGGAGTTAAATGGGGAAATAACATAAATAAAAATAACTTTGGAACCGTAATTTTTACAGAAATGGTTTTATACCATTTTGTTCAGAATTTAAAGAACTATAACATACTAAATCTTAATCAAAATAGTTTTTCTGTAATTTTATGGGTTTTCATAGGAAAATTACCATTATAAATCTAAAAAAAAAAAAAACAAATGGAGATACCATGGATTACTTTATTAAAAGATAAATTCAAGATATCACAATTCTATTCTAAATTCATACTGAGAAAAAATAATAGGCTAATGAGAACAGGTTAAAACTTAAGGAATGGGATTACATTTATTACACAGAAATAGGTATTAATGATAAATATTATTTATCGTCAACAAACTCAAACCATTACTGGAAACATACCAAAAGAGGGATTCAGATTTTACAATAATAGGATAAAAATTCTACTACCATAATCTGAAGTTAGACACAACTCAAACAAAGGTTGATAAACTACATAAACTACATAAAGAGCTGAGTCACATGTGAATGAATCACAAGGTTAAACCTGGCACAGGTGAAAAAGATTGAGTAACACCTTTAACAACTATGGATAGGACTAGACATTCCAATATCAATGTTATATTCAAGCCAGCTTTAGAATGAAAATGAACAGAGTTAAATATTTTTTTTTAATACCCCAATTGTTTAATCAAGCCAAACTCAATTCAAAAACTTTCATTTTATAATAATTTTAAAACTGGTTATAGCCGTTGACTAACCAGCCTATGCTTAATCTAAGCTATAACTATGGACAGTGGATGTCTACTTTTATCAATAGCCATACAGTTTACTATACATAATAAAGGAAATACAGAGATAGCTTGATAGCTTATTGGTTTTGTAAAAATGCACTACCCTGGTACAGGTACAATGATATGCAGTGTTCAATTTGTAATAATTGAAGTACCGGAACGGTAACCTGTTTAATGTGATTTGTAAATATTTATGTACATATTTATGCCAAGATTTATATCTTGCCGAAAGAGAGGTAGGTACCCGAACCCCGTTCTGCCGTGTTCCCCGTAAATTGAGCACTGATTATATGGTTACTGATCATAAATAAACGTCATGGCAATAAAAATGATTTAACAAAATACCACCACCGCAGCAAACCTGCAGAATTTTTAAGTGAATTTCAATTTTTATAATTGGATTCATACTAATATATTTCCATAAACAAGACATGTTTATTTTACATTTAAATACCGTAACATCATATTTAACAAGTACTTAGGTTTGCTGCTATGTGGGGTTTTTACACTAAATTTTAATATTATAAGGTGAAATAAATGAATTTCCAAAATTTTATCAACATATTATATTCATAAAACAAGCTACATAACTACAACAGTGTACTTAATTTCCATAAGAGTAACATGGGAATTTTAATTTTCTCCATAACCAATTATTGTACAAAATACATCTTACTGAATCATTTTTAAACTCTTCAAAATGGTTAGAGAGAAGTTGGGAAATTTTATGTTTTTATGGTAAAATATGGGAAAACAATTTTTTACCCCATAAAACCCCCCATTAACCCCTGTTCCCATGGTTCGATCATGCTGGTTGGTTGACCTTCAACCCAAATTTCATGAAAATTGCACCAAAATTGCTCAAGTTATCACGTTCACACAGTAAGGACACACATGAATAAATCTATATATGTAAATTTATAACAATTTGAGAATAGTGTTTTTAGCCTCTGGGGACATCAAAATGAAAAAGTAAATCAATAGGTCTTGCCACTCACGATAGCTACTTCCCTGTAGGGAAATTCGCTAAAAACTAAAGCACTATTGTTATATTTGATCAAAGAAATTTTCTTTTTTATCTGTTTTATATTGGTAGGATTGGATATTGGTACGTGATAAATGGCAGGAAAATGTTGGAATATTAGGTAGTACCCTTATAAATTAATTAATCACTTATAAAATAACACTCTACGGTAAGCTTAAGAGCAGTAAATTGACAATATTTCTAGATTTAAAACATCAATTTACTTATATAATTCCTGAAGATCTACTTAAAACACTACTCTTCAACTTGTATAAATTACTATACAAACATGAGCCCAACGTCTTCCATGTCTATAAAGAAAACTTAATTAAGCACTTGTTCAAATATAATTGACAAAAACAATAAAATTTGGCAGTAAGCCCTGGCACCCTCCCAGACTAAGTTCTGTTCAATGTCAGGAGTAATCTGTGTAATACATCAGTCTCATAATCTTATAACTACCATTTACCAAAATAAACAAACTCATTTAAAACTAAACATGTAAAAAGCATTTTAAATGTTAATATTTGATTGTTTTCAAAGTTCGTTCGCCAATTAAGTAGCAGAGTTCACGTTTCGAGTGCATCAAATCAAATATTTGGTCTGGAATAGAAATCAGTGTTATAGCTAACAAAATACAAAGTCACAACAACAGACTTTATATTTGACAATAGGATGACAAGTCATGCAGTATCAAATGTGTATTACTAGCTCTAGATATGATCCTCTTCTAGATTTGTAAACAAATGTGCATAACAGAAAATTACTAAATGAACAATTATTGATAATCATAAACACACACTACTTGCATTGTTGAATTCTTTTTAAATATTTCGAAATCAATGAGAAACAAGTTGATGACTGGTGGTTTCTAAAACGTAAACAGGTAAGTTAAGTATTTACGAAGATAACAGAGTAAACTGCGCAGTGTGTGCAGCAGACTGTGATGTTCAAGGTCGACTATACACCACACACAGACCTACCTACACACTAACACTATCACAGCAACCACGACACTTGATGACCTTGGCCTCTGGAGATATCTATAAATAGCCTGGCTTGTACGGTATGGTATAATAAAATATCATACTCTGTTATACACTAGTACTAACAAGTGATCTGGGCAGGACATCTCGGTAAAAAGTACTTAAGTACATAGATACTGGATAGTTGTAACAAGCACATGTTTTGCATGTTTGCGTAAAATGAAAATAATCAAGTTCAATGATCCTACATTAGTTTTCCTTTGATTTTATATTTCTATCACTATTTTGAATGGGTTGTAACGAATACGAATTTGAACACAAATTTAAATGAAGTTCAGTGAGGATTATTATGATGTGGGTATTTACTGTGCATTATTTTAATCAACTAAGATCAGTGGTGCTTTACTGTACTTAGAAACAACAAGTACCGATATACTTTTAATCTTATTGTAAAATTTGGAACCTGCGCAAAGAGTTGCCTAAACGTAAAAAATCACTGATTTGAACGCAGAGAAAGAAGTTTGAGTTTCGTTCAGTGCTTGTGTTGGATAGCTTTATTTACTTGAATGTATAGTATAACTATGTATACTATAACATAGTTTATGGCATATATAGTAAACTATGTATAGTATAAATGGTTATATCATATTTAGGTGAGTTTTTCAGTGTACGCTTTGTCTGTTTAATACTAGATGACAAGCAACAGCTTACAAACGAATTCTGAATACATCACTAACCAGTTTCGGTTTACCAAATATGTAAGAGTTATGACAGCAAGAACAAGTTATAACAAAGACTATTAATATTCTTCAAACGAACAGACAGGAGTCGGACTGCCAACGCGTAGGCCTAATTAGAACCGGGGTTGTCTTTAAAACGAGAACGTTTACTTTTAAATCGTGCATTACTCAAGGTCAAGTTAATGTGTTGTTATGTGTGTATGTAAATCTCATAACAATAGGGATTTTCCGTCATAACATTTGGCCAATTATAACTTAACTCTAAACCCGACCTCAGTAAATTATTATGAAATAAATTATCAGACTATTATTAACAACCAACC